GTTTAATTATTTGCACTAATTTTGGGAAAAAAAATTCCCTGTTTAGTAGTATAAGTTTCTGAAAAGTTTGAGAAAGGCTCCACCAAATTTCAAACTTGTTTTAATTTCTTCTTGGTTAGTTGGTAACGGTAGAACCTTCTTTACCAAACTCAATAAATTTTACTTTTTAATTGTTTTAAGCGTAAGTCTCGTTTCCTTCCTCGTTATAAATAAATGATAATATATCGTTAAGCTAGATGTAGCTCTATCTTGCATGTAAATATGTAATAATTGAACCCACTTTGCTATTTGGAATCATATTTCTGATCATTAATTGATGCAAATTTTTGTACGCAAATTATTTCATTGATCAGAAAATGACGTCCAAATAAAATCCCATGAAATGAGATGATAAACACCAGAAGATAATTCGCATTATGAAATGAGTTCTGTAACGAGCCATGATGGAATAGGATTGTGACTAAAAGGTGTGAAACATTTACTGTTTTTGTCAAACATTTTCAAAGTGATTTTGTTGATCCATCCAATAAAAGAATTGATAAAAAGAAGAAAAAAAAACAAAGATTAGGCAAGGCAACTTTCTCTCTTGAATTTTTGTTCTGTTTTATTTTGTGACTTTTAATTAGCTTGTCTAGGTGACTAACTTCTACCTACTACATACATAGCCTTCCTTGCCGTCATAAACAAAGGGTCAACATTCATACATCTAGTAAAGCTTTTAAGAAAAGGGATTGGCTACTTTGAATTCTATTCCGAGCAACTAATTTCTTGTAAATACTAGTATTGTTTATAGAAAGGGAAATATGGCATAGAAACGTTATATAATCTATATAAATTTTGTTAAATAATACGCTAACCACGAAAAGAAGACATTATCCGTTTTTTACTATCATCAATAGCCAACACATAAAAAACGGCGCTTGCTTTCACAATTATTTTGCGTTTTGGGAAATTTTACATTAACATGACTTACGTTCACGCCCTCTTATTCTTACTTCCAAACAACAACGAAAAATAAAACAAGATCCTAAAAAAGAAACCCCAAGCTAACGTAACCCACAAGCAACCCCATTTATCCAATTGTTCTATTCCTTGCTGTTTAAGCAACTCAGAGCCCGTCCTCAAACACGTTGATTCCGTTAACTCCATCCCCAGATAACTGCTCATCGTCTCTAGAAGCTTTGCCTTCCTTGTTTCAGACACTCCTTCCATTAATGTATTATCAAACACTTGGTCTCCTCTCACGAAACAACGTGAAGGATCGTCGAACTCGTTGTGCAGAACAGCTTCGTAAGGATACTTTAGCATAGAAATGTAGTGAATCCATATCCAATAAAGATGGATACGATCTCTATTGATGTAGAATCCGCTGAAGAGAAGGCAGTAAGAGAGATATCCAAATGTGACCATGTAACTCATCATCACGTTTGGAATCACACCAGAGACGAATGTAACAAAAGAGCATCCTGACCAGAACGATGCGAAGATGATCAAAAGGTAGTAGATGAAACCCGCGAGACCGCCGTTTAGACCAACGAACCAGAAGGTGGTGGCTGCAAACCCGACGGAAAGCGCGAAAAGATGAGGCAGAGTCACTAGAGAGTGAGAAATAACGTAGGAAGATCTTCGGTAAGCGTTATGTGCGGTTTCTCTCAAGAAAATGTATCTTTCTTGGATAAAAGCAGGCAATCCGTCCGCGCAACTGTAAAACATTGTTGCCATTGCGAAAGAGAAGAAGCTTAATCGCTCTTGGACGCCTCGAGGAGAGTCATCTACTCTCCAGTAAACCGTAGCCAAGAGAAAACCGGTCAACATCACTATGAAAACTCGTGTTCCGATCAGCTCGGGTGTTCGAGTCCAGTTTATCATGTATCGTTTAGCTAAGATTACGGTCTCGACCCACCAAGGATTCACGTATGAAGGAATCGAGCTATATTTAGTAGAGACAAGTTTGCCTCTTAAAATGCTTGCATTAATGGCTTCTTCCAAGGATGATGAGTTATGGTGAGGTTCTTGGCTAACTCTAAGCTTATTCTCTTGCCAATTTCGGTTGAATTCGACTAACCCTCTTGTTCCTTGAGAGGATCCTTCAAGATCTTTGATTAGGTCAAGTGTAAATTCCGCATTGTTCTCTTTATCCCGTATGGGACAACCAAATTCTGAGAAGAACAAAGGGAAAGTAGCGGGAGAATCGCTAAATACACTCTGTCCAGAAGATAAGACGATAATCCGGTCGATAAACTCCATAATACGACAACTCGGCTGATGGATTGAAATAATTACGATACTTCCACTACGTGCAATCCTTTTCAAAACTTGCACCACCATGAAGGCACTAGTTGAGTCTAGTCCTGAGGTTGGTTCGTCGAGGAATAAGACGATAGGGTCGTGAATGATGTCGGTCCCAATCGATACGCGCCTCCTCTCCCCACCGGAGACACCACGATGGCCTTCGTCTCCGATCAAAGTTGTTTTAACAGTTCTGAGCCCTAATTGGTCTAACACTTGG